CATTGTCTTCTGTGAAGCACTTCTCTGTAATCAATGATTTGCAGTTTGAGGAAACATAGACACCAGTTTCCTTAATTATTTTTTATTCTACAACATAAGACTTCTCATCTCAAACACAATACTGAAGACACTATAAGCAGGAGCTGATGCTTTTCAGGTCCTAATCAACCTTTTCAGTGAGAAATATGAACAAAATAGTACAATCCTCTTTGAACTGGTCTAATGATTAAATTTTTAATGATTTGAGCAATTTACAGTTATTGTCCCAGCTATCCTACCGTTGATGATGACTAACTGGATTATGACATTGGTACAACCTTGCCTTCTTTTGCGGTGCTTTTGCAACACCACACACTTTGTCTAAAGCATTAAAATGATTTGTCAATTGCACAATGAAGTGTGTAATTAACAGTTAAACAGATCTGTCAACCACCCTGCGAATTGAGGTCTTAATTCTCCTTAGTTGCTTGTGGAATCTGCATTCCATTATTTGCAAATTACACCAGATTAATTGAACAAATGCTTTCAAAAAGCACTCTGAGTGCTAGTTTAGAAGCATGGAGGAAGTGGTTTCTTAGACAACGGTTTCCCACAAATAGATCTGATATCAGGTAGATGGCATGGGTGAGATGGTGATATTGAAGTACAGAGCTGTTGGTTATTTAACTGGAGGTACAGTCCTTTTTAAAGCTTTGCTAATCAATTACTTGCTCTAATTTAAGTCCTTAGAATTCACTAAATTACAATTCCGTCTGAAGCAGCTGTGGCTTTTTACTTTATTTTTCTAGCACATTAAGATAATTACCTGGCTAATGAGGAATAGCAAGTTAAAACATAGAAGAACAGCTTTCCCCATCAAGAGTGTGAGATATTTTTAGTTATAACAATTTGGCAGTGGAAAAAGAGGTACAGAGTAATTGGGTTATTATACTCTGTTCTTTTTTTAGTTTATAATATTAATAACTATGTTCCCTCGAGTCAGTTCTGAGTTATGGTGACTCTTTTTCAGGATTTTCCAAGCAGAGAATACTCAGAAGTGGTTTGTCATTCCCTTCTTCTATGGGTGCCCTGGGACTGTGCAGCTCGCTCAAGGCCACCCAGGCTGGCTCTACTCACAAGAGACACCATGGGAAATCAATCTCCCAACCTCTGGCTCCGCAGCCAGATACCTAAGCCACTAAGATTTCCAGCCAGCTACCTTCAAGATTAAGATTTATTATATTGCTCATTCATTGACACATAGAGTGCATGCAAAGGATTTACAGTATAAACTGCTTGTACCACAAATGGGAGGCTGGGCATTTCTGGCAGAAAAAAAATGGATAGAGAAGTCTAGCTCTGCAGATGTTAATTTATTTATTTATTTTATTTATTTATTTATTCGATTTTTACCCCACCCCTCTAGACAACGTCTACTCGGACTGCCACTCCCACGATTTTTCATTATTGGCTATGCTGGCTAGAATTATGCTGATGGAGCTGCAGTCCAAGGACTACTGGAAGGTCATAAGCAAACTAACCTCATTCCTGAAGCTCATGATGACTTTCCAAAACAGCACAATTGATTTAAACTGAATAAATCTGCATATGGTTAAGAAAACAATTCTTAAGAAGAAATGGTGGATACTCCATTTTAGTGCATACATATGGGGCAGGAGGTTTAATCTTAGAAGAAGAACCACTCATCTGCCTGATTTTTAAACTACCTGTACTACTTCTGGTACAATTAATTGAACACATAAATGGAAATATCTCATTACATCAATCCTGCTGTGCATTTAACAGGCTAATATGGTTTTAATTGACTCAGTGGGTTAGTGGATAGAGCAGGCACTCATGTTCCGAAGTAAGTAAATGTTCACAGTAGAATTGAAGTCCATGATTACTGATTGGCTGACGTCTTTGAGATACCTTTCTAGAAGAAAATGCACCTAGAAAGTATTCTGTCCCACCACCCTCCAAAGCTACTGGTAGGAACCATTCACATGTGAGATGTAACTTTCTTTGCTGGTCTCACCAGGATCTCAACTGCAAACTTCCCATTCCTCTCTCTCTCTCTCTCTCTCTCTCTCCCCTGTGTATCTGAGCTGCCAACTAAAATACTTGGAGAATCCCCCCAAGATACTGGACTGGTGCTCTCTCGCTCTTTCTTTCTCTCTCCCCTGTGTATCTGAGCCGCCAACTAAAATACATGGAGAATCCCCCCAAGATACTGGACTGGTGTTCCCTCCCACATTTTTCAACAACCAAATAATGAAAAGAAGGGCTAAATATTTAATTGAAGCAATAGGCTGTAGGGATTTGTTTTACCCGTAGACCAACATGTCCTTCTGGCCAGAAAGAAGATCATGCTATCCAGTCAATTCTGACTTACAGTGACCCTTTACAGGGATTTCCAGGTAAAGAATACTCAGAAGTGGTTTACTGTTCCCTTCTTCTGGGGACAACATGAGACTGTGCTGCTTGCCCAAGGCCACACCGGCTGGCTGTACTCACAGGAGCCAGATACCGTAACTGCTGAGCTATCAAGCCACTGTACTTCCTTGATAAGAATGTGGTGGCATACTTACTCAGAGTAACCCAAGAAGTTTGCTTTAAAGAAGACAACTCCAGAAAGGGACATTGGTTCATTCATTCAATTCTCTGTTACCTCAGAAGAAGAGGGTCAAACAGTAACTGACAGGAAGGTCAAAAGGAATGAATGCTATGCACCCACTCTTCTCTTTCCTGGGAATTTTTTTCCCTTTCTCAGCCATTGAAAAAAAAATCAGCTGCTGCCGGATTCTTGAGCCGGCCTATGCCAATTGCTCAGGTTTGAGCAATGTGCAAGTCTTCAGATTTTGGAATCCAGTTCTCATCAGTCCCAGCCAGTATGCTCATTAGTCAGGACAGCATGGCAGTTCTAGTCCAACAACATTTAGAGGGCCATCTCTTTCTCTCCTTCAGAAGATCTGCCCTTCCTCACATTCCCCACACTGCTATTGAACCGTCCCTTACAGAGTAAGCATTTAGAATGGGAAAGATTGGCAACTTATTCCAGAGTTTCCAGGAAAGAGACAAATGACTCCACCCTAATTGGCAGTTAAGGAGACAGCCCCTAGAATTGTGATAAAAATGACGCAAGTAATGTCCACCCAGCATCTAGAGGTACTGATCCATTTTTATTTCACAAACAAGTTTGTCCCAAAATATGTGCACAATAGGAACAATGAGAGAAAGAGGTGTATAACCGCAGGAATGTTTTCCATTCTACATCCCCCTTACAGCTTTATTACCAAACAGATCTACAAACAGCATGTAAAATATTTAGTTACTAGGAGATTACTTAAAGAGTTAGTGCCATTTTTGTTGTTATGTGGTATGAAGTCAGAACTGACTTATAGCGACTCTAATAGAGTTTTCAAGGTAAGTGAGGTATTTAAGGAGTAGTTTTACCATTTCGTCCACCACCCCAGTAAGTTTTCCATGGCAGAATCAAACCCAGGTCTCCTGAGTCCTAGTCCATTACTCTATCCACTACACCACACTGGGTACCCACAATGCCATTCTTGCAGAAGGGCAATTTTAAGAATCTTATAACAGACATAAGAAACTAAGCAATTATAGCCTATCCCCTTTCAGGGAGTGGATGTGGGAGCCCACAAGTGGGGAACTTGATGTGGCCATCCAGATGCAGTTGGGACTGCAACTTTAAGCTTCCCTAGCCAGCAGAGCATATGGTATTATGACAGCTGCAGGCCAAAAAAATCTGCAGGTTCCATCTGCCCTCCATCCTTGTGATAGTCAAAGCACTGCCTTGTTAAGCTTTGGTTGATGGAGCTAATCTGTTTCAAATCATGAACGTGGTGGCGGCTTCATTTCATAAGCAGCTACGATATAAGGAATAAAGGTTAAACTGGCCATAAATGTTTGCCTGTTTGTTTACTGTAAGGTAAGCAGTACTGTTAACTTTGTATTGTAAAAACAGAACTGTGGGGGGAGTGGTTTTCCTCTAGGCTAGGGCCCCGGAACTGCGGCCCTTCAGACATGGCTGGATTCCAACTCCTACCATGCCATCCAATATTGATCAGGGTTCAGAAATAATGGGATCTGTAGCCTGTGAACATCCGGAGGACCCAGGTTTCCTGTCCTTGCTATACAACAGTTAGTGAGCTCACTGTTGTGGCTTGGCTTGAACAGGGGACATCCTGAGTCACAGTTCAGTCTATTTGCTTCTCCTCTAAACCAGATTATTATTCTTATTTTACCATTAGACAAAAGGCAAAGGAAAAACATGCTTTTTAGTCATGAAAGCTCTATTCCCATCTTCCATGAATCCACATCCAAACAGGTTTTTTTAAAAAAATACAGTGGTGCCTCGCTTAGTGATCGCTCCGTTGAGCGATGAAATACACTAGAAATGGCCCCTATGGGGAAAAATCGCGTTGTGATGATTGTGAGGAAGCGATCATGGCAAAGCGACCCTTTTTGCACAGCTGAATGGTGGTTCCAAAATGGCTGCCGGAAAAACAAAATGGCCGCCCGCTGTTTTGCCTCGCTTTAGAGGCACGGAAAATGTTTGCCCCTATGGAGGATCTTTGCATAAGGTCAGTTTTTAAACCCATAGGAATGCATTAAACACGTTTTAATGCGTTTCTATGGGCTTTTAAAAATTGCTTAGCGATTAAGTTGCTTAGCAACGTTTTTCCTGGAACGGATTCACGTCGCTAAGCAAGGCACCACTGTACAAGTTTTTGCAATGTCATAATTAACACTGGGAGAAACACAGTAGATGGGAGGGTGGGCTTCTGTCACAATCACATGTTTAAAAATGTACCCTACAAAGCAGTAAGCAGGGATCCAAAGTCTTTCAAACAGCATATGCTTTGCATGCTGGAGTTTCAGGTTTCATCGTCGTTCATTCTTGTCCGACTCTTCGTGACCCCATGGACCAGAGCACGCCAGGCCCTCCTGTCTTCCACTGCCTCCCGGAGTTTGGTCAGATTCATGTTGGTTGCTTCAATGACACTGTCCAACCATCTCATCCTCTGTCATCCCCTTCTCCTCTTGCCTTCACACTTTCCTAACATTGCACGATTATTCAAAAAGAAACATGATTATTTGTGAAGATTTTCCGTCAACCAGGTGAGGTTATCTGAAAGTTGATTCATGGCATGATTATTCTTTGGTAAGTGTCCACAGAAATGCAGTCTTTGGCACTGATTTCTATGCAGGTCTACTCAGAAGAAAGTCCCATTGTCTACCTTCCTGTATATATACCTGAACCTAGATTATACTCCATGAATCTAAGAAACTAGCCCATGAAAGCTCATATTAAAATAAAACTGACAGTCTTTAAGGCATCATAGAAGTCCTTGGGTTTTTTTTTTTCATCTCAAAGCAATTAGTCAAAAATAAGGTTCAAATTAAGATAGGCCTCTATTCCCTCATTGTTAGAAGCCTAGCCACACCTCACATTCATCACCTAAAAGCAGTCAGGCACTGAGATGAAGAAAAGGCTAAAGGATATAAAGGATGCAAGAAATCAGTAGCAATTAGCTGTCTTTCTTCCTCTGAACCTTGTGTGTCTTTGTTTACCTCATATCTCCTTTGTCCTTAAGGGTCACAGAAGGAGGAACAGGAACTATTAATGATTAAAGAGACCTAAGATAAGAAAAGACAAGACATACAATAAGAAAGGGAAAGGTGGCCAGAACCTCTTGGATTATCTCCTGGGAGGAGGGATCAGCATTATGAGACAGAAATTACATTTTGCATTTGAAAGGTCCAAGTCTGATCTGTGTCATCTCTAGATAGATAATAAAGTAGCAGGTGAAGCAAAAGGGCTGAAGAGCTGCTGCAAATCAAAGCAGGTATTGCCATCATTATCAATTTCATTTGTTTTTGTTAGGTTTTTTTTTAAGATCTAGCTCAGCAAAAACAACACACACACACTATAAACAACAGGTCCTCACAAGAACAAAATATAGGGATAATTCAATGGTCAAAGGTAAATATTAAAAAAAAATAAACCCATTCCATCCCGTCAGAATTCCTGGAGGAATCAAGTAAGGTACTAGCCAAATTGGCTGAGAATAGCTCAGCTAATACTCGGCCAGATTTATGCTGAATCCTAACCCCTCCCCAGAGATGTAGGAAATCACTTGGAACTGTAACTTCACCTACTTTTATGCAGGCACAGCGGCTTTCTCCATAAGCTACAGGAGCTTTGGATCTGGTGCGCGCTCCTCCCTCACCTTTTCCCTTTTCCACTTCTTAGCCCTTGTACAGCAGTTTTGCCAGGCTATTTCAGAAATTCACCAGCTCACAGGCAGCTGTGGTGAGACAAGAGAGTTGTGTCTACAGTAGGACACCCCCCCCATCTGCAGGACCCGTATCAGCAGTTTCACTAATCCATAGTCTGAAAATATTAAAAAGAAAAACCAACCTAAAAAGATATATTTCCACTATGTAATTATCAGAACTGGCCATTAGAGGGAGCCAAAGACCATGCTATGTATAGAGTTTGCTATTATCCATGGTTTTCTGTATCCACAGGAAGGCTTAGAACCAATTCCTTAAGGATATAGGGGTCCTACGGTATTTCAAACCCACTAATGCCAACATATGTTTAAGCTAGGGTTGCATTGTTAACAAGGTACAGAAAATATGACAGGGTTAGGACCAATAGACAAAAAAAACCTTCTGCCTTGCTACCGTTTTCCAACCCTCTTACAGAACAAACTCAGAAAATGGCTTCAAATATTAACATACGTGGTCCCAAGCCATGTAAGACTTGACAGGTTAAAACCAGCACTTTGAATTGGGGACAAAAATGTATTGGCCGCCAGTGCAGTTCGCCAGAATAGATGACATATGATCAGACTTTCTGGTCAGTGGTCAAGCTGGCTAGTGCATTTTGCAGCATTTTCTGAACAGCCTTCAAAGTCAGGCCTATCTATAATGCACTGCAGTAATCTAACCAGTAGGTTTCCAGCTCGCAGGCTACTGAAGGACTAGCTAGACAGATTTATCCTGGTATAAAGCAGCCTTCATTTCATTGTGTTACTTACACAATCTATAACTATTTTCTGCTTGTCACCCAGCAGTTTCAGAATTCTTAACTTAGCACAATGAATGCTTGAACAGGGTTACAACCAGCAGGGGGGAAAAACAGTTTCACAAAACAAATCTTGTTAAAGTTTTCATGCCGATGAAGTTTCGACAGCCTGGCTTACACGTGGCTTCTTTACGCCCAATGGAAATATCAAATAGCCAAACTCTGATTCAGGCGAGTAGGTTTCTATGTATACAGAATTGCCAGGCAGGATTTTCACGATGAACAGTTTGACTGATTCTAAGTTCCACTTCACATATATATACAACTGTGGCCCCTGGTTGATGAAGTACAATACGGAAATCATTTAAGAAATTAAATAGATGCACTAAAATTAGCAAGCTACATAGTTAGAAAACATTTCACTAGGCCTAACCCTATACAGCTCCCTTCCCCTGTATGGCAATCTCCTGCTATGTTGGACTGTAACTCCCATCACCCCTACTTAGGCAGGGGGATTTAAGTAGCTGGAGATTACATTTATATCCCATTTTTCCACTAAAAAAATGTGTTCAAGCGGGCTTACAAACATTTTAAAAGAATAAACAAATAAATTTATTTACCACATTTAACCAAAAAAATCACATTTAGCCAAAAAACAAAAATCACAAATCATATGAACCAGCCTCACTGTAAAACCATTAAAATACATTAAAATCAGCTGAGGATACAAATTAAAAACAGCACAGCATGGCAAGCTGTGGGAATAGCTCACCAAGTCTTTTGGTTTCTATGTTAGAGAAGGCTGTTATATACATTTACTTGGAAATAAGTTTCACTGAGCTCAGTGGGGCTTGATTTTCAGAAGATGTGTAGGACTGCACTGTTTGCCTTCATTCAAAGCCACAACAGAACAGTATCGGGCAGAATTTCTCACCATAGACCAGTTTCCATTGGGTTATCTAATAGTTTCTGTTGTTTGCTGGGATTCTTGCAGATGAAATTGATCTGAGTCTGATCCTGTGACTTCTTGAGCAAGCACATAAATGAGATAATTTAACACAAATTTAGCTGTGCCTTATCTGGAATTAACAGAGTTCAGAAAATGTATGGATATTTATTTTATTTATGTTTTCCCATCTCCTGATCATGCTAGCTAGGAGATCCTGGGAGTTACGGTCCAAAAAAATGTAATATTTCCATGCTCTGGGAAAGACACATACTGTATACCTTTTTTAAAAATTAAAGATATACCTCATCTTTCTTCTGTGATGGAACTCAAGGTACTGTTACATGAGATTCTGTCATGACTGGAGGAATCCTCAGTGAGGATGAGCTGAGGAAAGAGACATTCCAAAGCCTGATGAGATGGAGGATCTCTTTGATCCTGCAGATCCTGGACCCTCAGGAAACCAGGAGGCTGAATCAAGAGATGCCAGACTCTTAGGGACACAGGAACAGGCTGAGCCTATGGATAATGGGAGCGCAGCAGCTTAGTCTGAGGAGGAGATGGGACAGCCTCCCAGACTCCAGGAGCGAAGAGAAGACTGAAAACATAAGAAGTCCCAAGGTGGAGTGCTCAGCTGTAGGAAAAGTTTGCTCATGAGTAAGTTGCTTCTTCACAAGTACTCTTTCTTTCTGAGAGAATCAAGGGACAAACCCCGTGGCTGGGTTGTCCCCTTGCCCCCTGGACTTCTATGGCTGTTCAGGCGGCAAGGTGGCTCTGGAAAGTGCTGGATGTAACTTCCATGCCAATTCCTGCCTTGTTTCTGATTCCCTTGCTCTAGACTGCCTTGACCCTGTTTGACTGGATTGCTTCTTGCATTATGATTTGGGATTGCCCTGCCTGAGTGAGCCCTATGGTGAACTTTACAGTTCCTACTCTACCCTTTTTCTTGATCAGCGACTTTAATAGCCAGCAGTTTCACTTGCCCCATCCCATATGGAACTCGACAGATTGCTTAGTGGTTTCCCCACCTGGCACTAGCCAGTTCTAGACCCATATAGCTTCAGCAACTTGACTGCATCATGTACCCCTAGATTATGCCTCCTTATAACTTCGTACATTTAAAATGTATCAATAGACCACAGAGATACCAGTAAACATAAACATGCACACTGACCACCCTTACCCAGCCTAGTGCCTTCCAGATGTGTTGTATCATAATCCTCAACATATCTGCTCAAAAACATCTGGAGGCCACCAGGCTAGAGAAGGATGGAAGACCCATCAGATTAAAAGCAGAGGAAGTTTTCTCCCTCCCAACATCATGATTCCTATTATTCAACTTTTTTAAAAAAAATGTTAAAAATCAAGAGCATTTTTAAAGATCCCAGTATGCCTCCAGTCTCCATGTATCACCCATATGGGTTACACATTGTTTCTAGTGGATGAGTAAAAGCACTCTTGGTAGGATCTACTACATGGTACTTCCCACTTTCACCAAGGCAACCTCTGTGACGCCATGCAAAATGTTACTTCAGTCCTGTATTCAACTGCATCCCTGGTGTCTTTCCAAAAGGTTGTATCCCAGCAGTGAAAATTCACCTTTCTAAATGAGAGAGATCATTTTCATTCCGCTCTTCTTCTTGTTGTTGTTGTTAGCGATCTTCATGCCACCAAATTCATGGAGGAATATGTAGCATTATATCCCCAGCAGGATATGAAACAGAATAATCTGTGAGTGTGTGGGAAAAAAAGGTTTCGTTCATTTCATAAAAGGAGATATGCCATTTTCAATGGATTATCTAAACAAGAAGACCAACAGTTAGAATTACAAAGCTCAGCTTTAGGCTTTTCCCCTCCTCTTCAAATTGAAAGATAAATCTTTTCTTTCATAGCAAGAATGTATTCTGTCAAACCAACTCTTCTTAAAGTGCAAGCAGCAAGAAAGTCCATCAGCAAGACATCTGAGTGCCCTATTGATGGGAACTGTTCAAATAGCCCTTGTCACCTTCAATATCCACCTCTTCATCTGAGTCATCATCAGAAATTTCAGAGTCCAAATCTTCCTGGGAAACTGGTGAGGAGGTGTACTGTGACTGTCCTGGAGAAGGTTCCTTTTCCTGCTCCGGACTTAGGCAACCTTCTTGCTTGGGTTCCTGGTGACCATCCACACTCCCAGAATCATCTTTTTTACTGGCTTGAGGGTTTTCCTAAAAGCAAACAGAAGTGATTTGGAACAAATGCAAAATAAGACAGAAAGAGCTGCAGGGCTCAGAAAACCTACTTTTTGGAATATAGCTCCCAGAATCCTTCAGACAACATGACTGGTTGGTTGAGACATTCTGGGAGTTGTAGTCAAAAGAAAAAAAGCAGTGTCTCCTGGTGCTGGACCGGAATGGTCAGGTGGGAAGAGTGGTATTCCTCTTTACTGTTTTTGTTGCAACAAATTGGTGTGACCATCCCATTGGAAACTGCAAGATTCTTGTTTCACTAGCTTCACACACCACTAATTATGCCATCGAAACTAATATTAATTCAATTCTTTAAAAAACAAAACAAAAAACTCCAGTTTATAAATGTAGCATATTGTGCTTTTGTGACCACAATTCAAAAATTCAGGAAATAGCCCAATACTGCAGCATAATATTGTGCCTGCACTGGAAGCAGGAAAAAGGATGTTTCCTGTACATAGCAAAGGGCAGCTTGAATGTTGACAACACCAATGGCAGCAGTCAAGGTGGTCTATAGGATACCCTCTTGTGCTTACTACCATTCACAAAGTGACACCTGGAAAGCTAAAATCCCAGAAGCTGACTCCTTTTTTTCATTCATTAACCACTACTCAGCTAAATACAAAGCAATTGTCAGGGCTGTTTTTCAACAAGTGTGAATGATGCCAGATTTGGCACTGACCCAAGTTTAATTTCCAAAGTCATACTACTGTAATGCGCTCTACGTGGGGCTACCTTTGAGGCTGCTGCGGAAACTACAGGTGGTGCAGAATGCGGCGGCCAGATTACTCAGTGGAGTGAGGAAATACCAACATATTTCACCCTCTCTGGCCGCATTGCATTGGCTGCCCATCCGATTCCGCATCAACTTCAAAGTGTTAATGCTCACGTATAAAGCCCTAAACGGTTTAGGACCTCGATACCTGGTGGAACGCCTTCGCCCCCCAAGTTCTCCCCGTGTCCCTCGCGCAAGCCAGGAGGTGAGGCTGAGGAGCCTAACGCCAAGGGAGGCCCGGAAGGAGAAGACAAGAAATCGGGCCTTCTCGGCGGTGGCTCCTTGTCTCTGGAACAACTTACCTCCTGAGATTTGCGTGGCTCCCTCGCTGGATAGTTTCAAGAATCAATTAAAAACATGGATGTTTAGGCAGGCCTTCCCATCAAACAATTCCTAAGGCCCTTTTTCCCTCTCCTATAGCTTTCCCATTTTGTTTAGTATTTTTGATATGTAAAATTGTTTCTATATGTACATTTATTGTATTATTTTTATGTTGTTAGCCGCCTAGAGTGGTCCTGACATGACCAGATAGGCGGGATATAAATAAAATAAATAAATAATAAATAAATAAATTGGGGTGCCCACATTTTTTTGAGTTGCCTTATAGAATGCTGATTTGCTCTGTTGCACAGTATCTATTGTTGCACATGCAGCAATAATAACATATGTAGCAGTGTGCAACCCACAGACTAGTCAACTTTGATTTTAAACTATGTTGGTTGTATCTCAATGAATACTTAGAAAAGGTATTAAAGCAGTGTTTCTCAGCCTGGGGTTGTGACCATGAAGGGGATTGCAAAGTGTTTTCTGGGGGATCGCTATAAGTTGGAGGCAACTTGACAATGCATAGCAGCGGCAACAATCTGGTCTAGTTTTACAATATTTGTCTCACCCTTTAGTGAAAAGAAGCACAACCCTCAAATAATAATTGGACTGATATACAGTAATTCCTTTCCAAAATTTCAGGAATAGGATTCAGAGCTCATGAGTATGCCCTGCCACCATCCAAGGCTAAAACTAGACATTTCACTTTTATAATGAGACTTTACAGACTGATCTAAAAGTTGAAACCCATGTATGCTTACTCGAATTCCATCGAGTCTGGTGGATCAGAGTCTCCTGGTTAGTGGACATACAGTTTGTAACTGTATGTAACTGAGTTCAATGGGGTTGAATTCTATGGCATTTCAAATACAGAAATGTGTGTTTAAGATCTACAGTAACAAAATCATACAGACCAAAAGAAAAAATAATAATTCATTACCCCAATTTAACCATAGAGCATTGATCTATCACAATGTCCAGTCTTAATACATAATATTGGGTGAAGCATTACCTGGGAGTCCAAAACCAGGTGATACAAGGATAACTCTAGGGTTTTTTTGTTGTTGTTTAGTCTTTAAGTTGCGTCCGACTCTTCGTGACCCCATGGACCAGAGCACGCCAGGCCGTCCTGTCTTCCACTGCCTCCCGGAGTTGGGTCAAATTTACGTTGGTAGCTTCGGTGATACTGTCCAAGCATCTTAACTCTAGGTTAAGATGGATTAATTCTGGGTTAAGAGGGTGTACAATATACAAAATTTGTAAGTGACATTTCTTGATTTCTGCATTTGCTTCCTCCCAAGTAACTAAAAATTAGTTGGGGAGGAAGTAGGGAATATCAAATGAGCAGATAGATGAACAACTGCAACAATGGGAAAAGAAAAACAGGAAAAGGAACACATGAAAGTTCTCACCAATTAAAAATTACTTTTTGGAACTCAGAGTAGCTAAACATATTTCTTTGAACCTTCTGTAGACCACACTTCACCAATTAATGTAAGAGGATAAAATAAATGTGAATACAATAAATAGAAAGTTTTAAAAAATGAGGGGGGAATAGCAAGACTTCAAACAGCTGAACACTAGTGAAACATAAACAAATTAAAACACTCCAGGGAAATAAAAACATTTTCATCTGGCACTGAAAAGAAAGGGAGGGGGAACAGCATTGCTGTTGCTGGAATTTCTCCCAGACGGCATTCCAACACTTCACAACAACCTCAGGGAAAATTTAAAATAACTATTTTTCACCTTCATAATGTTTGTTTGTTTGTTTGTTTGACTTGCATCCCACCTTTCTTCCAAAACTAGGTCTGAATGCAAATTTCAATAAGATTAAGAATAGGTATACATAAGAACAGGTTGAAATAGTTTTTAAAAAATACACAGGTTAAAATATACAGCAAGATCTAATGATAAAATATAGTAGAGTAAAATGAAGTACTGTATAGTACTAGAACACTGACTAATTTAATGCTATTTTAAAACCCAACAATAACTGAAATTCTTTATAAAGAAAGCAACCATGTTAATCCACAGGGACAAAAATGGATTACACTTAAATGATAAATTATAGATTCACAAAATACACAAACTTTCAAGTTCTAGGGAACTCTTTGTCCGGCTGGATGGTATAAAAAAAACAGGGAGCGGGAAGGATGTAAGTCTAAAAATCTGGCTTGGCATTTTTAACCATGGAAATCTGCAATGAAACTAAGACTCCAGAGGGAGACCAGGGGAATCCACAAGTGGGTATCTCACCAGTGTCCCACAAGTTCTGGCAAAGCCATGACAGAAGAAGGAAGTATGCAGATTCCCCTTCTCTGCAAATTACAAAACAGCTAATTGCTGCTTTCTTTCCCCATGCAGAGAAGGAGAATTTGTATTCTGCACTAACTGAAGCTTTGTAGGTCTTTTCAAAGGCATATGTACACCATGTTGTTCTTGGGCACGAAGACAAACATTGCACACACTTTGCAAATCACCACTGCAGAAGTGACTCTTCCCTCCATAATCCGTGTTACCTTTTTACTTTCTTCTGCTTGTCTGAGTGTCCTTTGCTTTGTGGTCTCTGCCTTGACAGATGCTGGGAAAGTGCACTAGTACACAATACAGTGGACCCTTGACTTACAGACGGCTTGACTTACAGACTTTTTGAGTTACAGACTTCTCTGGCCGCAAAATGTAGGTTTGACTTGCAGACTGAGATTTGACTTACAGACCAGAAAAAAACCAAAATGGAACAAAAACGGCCTGTTACGGGATTAATCAGTTTTCAATGCACTGTAGGTCAATGGAGACTTGACTTACAGACTTTTTGACTTGAGAACCGCCTTCCAATACAGACTAAGTTCTAAAGTCAAGACCCCACTGTATAACTCTCTGCCTTTGTCTTCTTGGTCTCCATCTTCTTTTATTTCTTCCTCCACTAGACCTTTTCCTATCTTTCCTACTCTCCCATTAAACTCCTGGTCACTCCCTCAGGGTCTGTCTCAGTTTCTTAGATCCTGTTTGAGTTCTTAAACAAAAAAATTGTTCATTGCTAGAGAGCCCGAGCAGTTTTCCCTACCTGCTTTAGGCGCCTCCATTTAGCCCTGCGGTTTTGGAACCACGTTTTCACCTAGAAAAAGAAAAAAGGAGGAGGACATTAAAGGGAGAAAGATTTACAGAGACCAAAGCTAGAAAAGAAAAAATACTTAACAGAGAAAAATCCTTTTAAATACAACTGAAGTAATTATTATATTTGCTTCCAACATAATTCTTTAAAGGTATTTCTAAGTAAATAGGCTGTGATGCTATATACACTTATTAGTAAACAGATAACCAGGATGGGACTTACTTCTGAGTGAACACACATAGGTTCGGGCTGATACCTCTGAATTATCTTCTGCAGTGATGTTACTGTACTGGCAGAGCAAGTTAACATTCTTCAAGGTAATTTGAAAACTGGAGCAGCCCAAATAAATGATACATTTGAAACTGGACTGCAGATCAACACCAAATGTGACACAGATGTAGCAGACAGTCTGTTCTTGCTCTGTGTCAGATTTGGAAATGTTTTGGCAAAAGGTTTTTGAGTTATTTTTTTAAATATAAAAGTGTTTCCCTTGTGCAGTAACCAGTGACCTGAAAAGTCCTTATATTTGAAGCATATCAAATAAATTGAAAAGACCAGTTTTGTTTATCTTGAAAGAGAATGCTTGGTTCTACAGTACCTGCTTTTTTATTTGGAAGAAATCCAGGCTGCAGCTACAGTACCTGTTTTTTTATTTGGAAGGAATCCAGCCTGCAGGGGCTGAAGCACTGATCCTCAAAAAGGACCTTTCAAAAAGCTAAAGCAAGGACTTTCTTATAAACTGAGCATACATGGAATAGGCTTACCAGAAAGAATTTTCCAAAGCTGTTAGCAGCTTTGTAGTCCAGATGTTTGGAGGGCAATGAAAGGACACAGAAACAGTCTGTTTTTTTATTTGGAAGGAATCCAGCCTGCAGGGGCTGAAGCACTGATCCTCAAAAAGGACCTTTCAAAAAGCTAAAGCAAGGACTTTCTTATAAACTGAGCATACATGGAATAGGCTTACCAGAAAGAATTTTCCAAAGCTGTTAGCAGCTTTGTAGTCCAGATGTTTGGAGGGCAATGAAAGGACACAGAAACAGTCAAGAGTACAAAAAAAGTTTTGTGTAAATAAAATAAAGGATTGACAGTGCTCCAGATAGGGACATTTTGCCATTATCTCCAGGAATTAGCATACAATTTTGTAAGGCACATTCAAAGCATTTTTGCATTGTATTTGGAAGGAATCAAGGCTGCAGGAGTTGAAATATTGATTCTCCAAAAAGGCCTTTAAAAGGGGTAAAGAAACTAATTTGTTATAAACTGAGCTTGTTTAGAACAGGCTTACCAGTAACAGCACTGCAAAATAGACACATGGTTGCATCTGCCTGGCTGAGGATAGTTGGAGGGCAATGAAAGGTCACAGAAACAGTCAAAAGACATGTTTTCTAGGAAAGTGACAGAGTGACAGTCCTCCAGAAAGGGATATTTTGCCATGAATCTCCAGGGAATTTTGTAGGCTATGTTCAAAATATTTCTGCATTACAAAAGTACAGAGCAGTTGCATTTGTTCAACCCCTAGTGCTTCCAGTAAACATTTCTGAAAACAGGCTCCTGGCATCAGTCTTCAAAGGGGAAATCAATGCATGATATATTACATTAATATCAGGTCATTTTTCTGGAGGTTTGAATCATGGATAAAAAAGCACAACATCCCACATTCATAAACCAGAGGGTTTTTAAAGAGAATTGAATTTTCTTTCAAAATGGCATCTGGTGTAAAGGTGAAACAAAGAGAGGTAACGTTGAACTTAGCCTGTCATCCAGCTAAGGTAAGGGGAAAAAATAAAATAAAAACATAAATAGAAGCCTAAACTACGACGATCAAAACAAGTGCACCTGCACTCTTGAAACAAGGATTCCCAGAGGGAGAGGAAAGGGTTTTGCGGATTCACTTTCCAGTGAAGCCACTCCAACATCTGGGAACCCTTAGGTACCCAAAAAGCCCACAAGCGCCTTTTCCCTTCTCTGGTGGTAAACATCAAACAACAGCAAATTACTGAACGATCAGCTGTCTTTTCTCGGCGCCCCGAGGAATATGGGAAGGTGAATCCTTTCATGGAAAGGAGAAAAGCCCGGCACGTTGGTCCTCAGGCTCACCAGACAAAAATATCTGGCGCGGCAGCGACCAAGGGGGGGGGGGGGGATCCTTCCCAGTGGGAGGCACGAGGACGCGGCTCCTCGCTATTTACTGGAGAGGGTGTCCCGCGCACCCCAGCCGGGTTTGCTCGCGGTAAAAGGCAGGTCGGCTCGGGCGCGGTCGGGCACCTAAAAACCACCATCCCGGGTTCTGCCGCTGTCGGCGAGCGAATGGGCAGCGTCGAGCAGGCAGACTCTGGAGAAGGCGAGGAAGCGCTCGCTCCGCCCCTCGCCCCCCGTGGCTGCCTCGGGTTTTGGCGGGAGAAAGAAAAAAGGGGGGCGCGCGGCGGCAAGGGGCAAAGACAGCGGCCGTGGGGGGGGTCGCTCATTCTCACCTGCCTCTCGCTGAGCTGCAGCATTTTGGCGAGGCGCTTCCTCTCGGGCGGGGAGAGGTACTTCTGCGTCTCGAACTTCTTCTCCAGCTCGAGGGTCTGGTCGTTGGAGAAGCGCACCTGGCCGCCTTTCCGCTTGTGCAGCGGCCTCTGCATGAAGGGGCTCCAGAGCAGCGGCTTCCCTGAGGGGAGGGAGACACGAGGTGAGCGCGGGCGTCCCAGCCATCGCCAGAGCTGTCCCTTCCCACCTTCAGCCAGTTTCCTACTTGGAAAAGTTTCTTTTTCGTTTGTTTGTTTTTTTACGAGCCCCCAAATCTCTCTGGCAACATTGGCTGAAGGATTCTGGGAGCAAGCCAAAAAAAAAGAACATTTTGCTCATCTCTTGCCCCTCCTCCGTCCGGCGTGAATCCATGTCCCAGATTGCTGCCAGGGGGCTTCCGCAACTCGCAGTCCAAAAAGTAACGTTTCCGACCTCTGGTTCAACCCCCGCACATTCACCTTCATGAATATACCAGGTAACAAGTCATCCAGAACCTCTCCCCTTCCCCCCACTTGTGGCGTCCACCCTAACTTACGCATTATTCATAAGGTGTATGTTAATGTGGTTGTGAGGCGGGGCCAAGGGGGTGACTGAGAAGCAGAGCCTGGGGGAGAAGGGGTTCAGTCAGAGACAGAGAGAGGGGAGAAGGAGTTGGGGGGGGATTGGGGCAGAGAGAAAGTGTTTAAGGAGTGATTAGTCAGTGTGTGACCTGTATTAATTAAGATAGAAGAAATTAAAGTACAATATTGAAGCTTTGTGTAACTTTAAGAAGGCGCTTAAGAATTATTCCTGAAACCAGGTGAAATCAATAAACCTGTTTCTGTTAAAAGTCAGCACTGGATGGACCTTAATCTTTCATAGGAAATATAAATTGATAAAGAGATCAACTGGTGGCAGCATGTCAAAGGGCGTGTCCTCACCAAAGGAGTAGGTTTTGATTGTCCCGCACCTCACACCACTGATCACTGTTACCTCTCTTTAAAAGAGTAGATCTCTACAGGATGAGACCATGTGATTCTTTGCAAAAAGATTAATAACATGTTGACCTATCTTGCTTCCAATTTTTTTTTTTACTTGAAATGGTCTTGGAAGGTCTAAGAAATGGAATGTCGATATTTATATTATTTATTTAACACACACACACACACACATCTTGCGGGGCATCACTATGTGTGTGTGTGTGTATCAGTCTATGGACTCTAGTTCATGGAATTCTACTTCATCCATATATAACTATATATACAGTATATATATTATGCTGTGTGTGTGTGTGTACACACACAGAGAGAGAGAGAGCAGAATATATATATATAGTTTTATATGGATGAACTAGAATTCTGTGAACTAGAGTCCATAGACTGAGGGGATCCCTGCTTTGGAAATTATTCATTCCCCTTGCCCTAAGGGCCATTTCACATACATTTCTTCAGACCCCAAACTTCAGTTGGCTTCCAATACTTGGTGGAACTTAACCTTCCCCACTTTCTGTAGAAGTTTGGGTCAGGTGCCATTGTGATTCCATCATCTGAGATGGAAACTCGATCACTATGAGTCACTGCCAAGCTTCCAGGAGCCTGGCAAACATGATTTAAGATATGTGTAGGGTGGTCCGCCCAAAACTTTACTGCCTGAGGCAGAATGTCTCCCCCCACTCATCCAAACCAAACCAATGTATTTGGCAAACACAGCAGAAAAACCCACTAATGTATCTCAGCATGCTTGGCAGTGTAAAAAAACAAATATTTTAAACAAATAAATAAATATTGCATATAACAATTTCTTCCCTACATGTTAATTAAGGCTTTTGCATCATAGTGGTGCCCCTGTTGGTAAAAGTAAGTCTCACTGAGCTGAAGAGACTTCCTCAGGGGTAAACATGCTTTGAATTGCAGTTCTTTAAGTAATCCCGGGTCTAGTAAATTTAAATGCAGTACCACAGTGGAACCAGTTACCTCGGGAGTTGGTGAGTGCACCAACACTGGAGGCATTCAAGAAAAACTTGGATAATCACCTGGCAGATATGCTTTGATTGTATTCCTGCACTGAGCAGGGGGTTGGACTTGATGGGCTTGTAGGCCCTTTCCAAATTCACTTTTCTATGAAATATAATCTTGATTTTCTGTTGGCATATGGGTAACACCAAATAATACCCACACAAAAGGGCAAAAATTAGTAGATATACTGGGACTATCTATCTTTCTGCTGATTTCCAACTGAGACATAGTGCAGGTGGCCAGTGAATTAAATCTGGGCAATGTTTTTTGCACCTGTTCAAGAACACTGCTGCAAATTTTCTACAGAAGATGTGATTTTGTGTGGACTTTGCAAGGAAAGGACAGGTGCGGGGGGGGGAGGGCTGTAATAGATCCCTCCTTCCTAGTCCATGAGGGTTAATTATGTCCTTTATTTTTACCCAAAAAAATCCTATTTACACCATTATACAAAGAAAAAACTATTACCTAAGAATCTGTCCTATTCTTATAGGAACATACAAAGGTATGTGAAGATGTCCATGTCCAACACACAGTGTGCAATGCCTTTAAACTGTAGGTGTACAAAAATGACCCAACCATAGGCTGCCCTACTTTGGCCCTGAGTTTGCAAGACCTGAGCCATGCTTTTAAGGATAGCATCGCTTGGAGGCCACTAAGCCATGGGATGGTCATAAATCGGAAGTGACTTGATTATGATTATTATTAGTTTTATTTTGATTCATATATGGATTAATCACACCCTCTACCCGCATAATCCCCTTTACTTACCCCTTTGCCGAAGGGAGTAAGTAAACGGGGGGGGGGAGTAATCCCTATTTTTAAGGCTGCGCCACAAGGGCAGGGGTTAGCTTTGGTTCCTGGCAGGACCGTCTTTTTACACACACATACACACACACGCACAACCTTTCACCTCGGGCGTCCTCCGGCTTGCACCTCAGTCCAGACCGGGACAGTTAAAAGCCGCTCAGCGGTGGCCGATGGCAACATTTCCGTCAATGTGTTTCCTGTTGGTCTTGCGCTCAAAAGAAGAAGAAACACCCCAGGCTTCCTCCCTGCTCTTTCATTGCACGAACCCGAGGAAGCAAGCCGCCGCCTCTGAAGGGAAAGCACATGTCACACATACAACCCACGCGCGAAGAAAGCAGCGAAGCGCGAGAGGCGGCTGGAGCCCCAGATCCTGAGGAGGACAAAGGCTCTCCGGACCCAAAAGCGCGACGCTCCCGTAAGCACAGCCTCCGCGCGACAGCAGCTGACCCTAAATCTCTCATTTAATCAACATTGGGATCATCCTGCATAAGACACATCTAATACATTTCTAAAGCCATCTGAATCAATGGCCGATTCCGTACTCTTTGGGGAGCCATAAACTCCAGGTGTTAGCTTTAATGACTGTTTGTTACAGTAGTTACATTCCTATCTCTTTTCCTGTGGAGGGCTCAGCCGTATAGGCGGCTCTCCTCCTCAGTTTATTTATCTTAATCTTAGAACTGCAGAGGTGGAAGGGGCCCTATGGATCATCGAGCCCAGCCCCTGGCAAGGAGGCCCAGTGAGGAATCGAACTCCCAACCTCTGGCTCGACAGCCAGATGCCTAAATCACTGAGCTATCCTAAAGCTCCTCCCAACAATTCTGTTGAACAAGTCAAGACGAAAGAGTAACTGCCCCAGTGGGGTCCTTCCGTAAATTTTCCGTGGGGTGGGGGTGGGGGGGAGGATGTTTCTGAGCCCTAGCTCCATTTCAACGTCTTTTCATTAAATGATACCATGTTTCCAGAGCGAGGACTTGTACTGATCATAAGGAAAAAGCATCGCCCAGCTCCTGTGTCTTTTTTTTCTCTTTAAAGCGTTTCTCTAGTAAGGAAACAAATGGAAGAAACAAGAAGAAAACACGGAAGTGCTGCAAACTGAAGACCACGACCTCCGGAAGTCGGACTAACTTCCAGGAATGCAGCGGTACGATTGCACAGTAAAAGCGGAGTCTGGAAATTCCCCGACCCTGGAAAATCCAATTAATAAGAAAAGGTGGAATAGCTACAAACTACACTCTTAAGTTTCCAGAAACAGACCCAGACTATTAGGAGAGATTGGAATCCAGACTCCTAATTTTAAATTTAAAAAAAGAAGAAAAAACTAAGTAGTTTATCCCAAAAGAATTCTTTTAAAAATCAAAGCCGGGTGATATCTTTCATTTGGACCATATCATGTTCGGAAAGTCGTGCAAAGGTAGCTTAAGATGGACCACTTTTGCACCACTTTTGTGCCATTTTAAGGTACCTAATGGAAGGTACCTAATGGAAGGCATTATTATCCCACTCTGATGTCCAAACCATAAACCGTATATCTGGAGCACCTATGGGCTATACTGTATCTCACAGTGAAGCTTAAATCTCTCTCTCTCTCTCCTTCTCTCTTATTGTTTTGCCACCAGAAGAATTGGATTGAGTTTTTTTAGGCAAGAAGAATTTTGTTTGATTTGTAGTTTATTCTTTTTTAGTTTTAAATTTTTTATTTACTTTAATTTTACTTTGGAAGTTGCGTTTTGCTGCATTCATTCCATGTCTGTATTTATAGTGATATTTGGAAGTCTCCAAAGGTAGTTTCTGCCCCCCCCCAAAAAAAGGAACAAAAATAATTTAACCTAACTTAAGTACCTTAACAGGGGTTTGGGGTGGTGAGAAAAATATTTATGTTTGAAGCAGAAACTTTGTTCGTGGAAATGAGTGTTCACGTTAAACCTGGCCAAAGTTCAGATCTTCGGAAATACCCTCCTGCTAAATGAAATGCAAGGCTGCAAGGCTGAAACCCTTAATGAACTGCAACTTGCATCCTGATCCTAATCACGTTTACTTGGAAGGAGGCCCAAGCTGATCGGTGGGTTTAATTTTCAAATTGAGTCAAAACAAATTCCGTAGAATCCATTGATTCCAATTTTTTTATTTAAAAAACTGAGTGTATTTCAGTGAAACAGCAATGATAATCATCATCCGTTCATACCTTTCCCTCGTATATACTGTACTAAGACTGCCCAAAACCTTCAATATATGTTATACAGGCAATATATACAAAGAGCATAAAAGGTAGGTTGCTTTCAGTGCAATCCCGGCCCTCTGGAAACAAGGCCAAATTAAGCCAATTTAAGGGCTTGTTTCTGAGCGAAGACAGGATTCCGCTGCGCCTCTTACTTCATTGGGACCGATTGGTTTTGGAGGGACTGCGAGATATGTCCAAGAGGAAGGGGAATAGAGAGTTTTAGGCCCTGCTGCCCAACCTGCTTACAGTAAAAAGTAGCCGTGAAGCCGCTTTGGCTTCCTGGCCCTCCCTACCAAATAGGTTTTCCTGTTTTCTTATTATTGGAACAAATTAAAGAAGAGCCAGCCGCTGCTGGGGAAGGGGGGTGGGAAGAGAGAAGAGAATCAGCATTACAGCCTTGAAAGACTGGTCAAATCACTACTTTTCAGAGTCATTTCACTCTTCGTCCAAGGTGAATCGTTCTTCTCCTGCCTCTATAGTTGCCTTTGTTGTCAGATTTTTTTTTTCAATTTTTGCAAATTATTTTAAAAAGGAATGCCTGCTCCACAACATTAGGAACGCACAGTTCGTTTGGTGGGATCAGACCAAACGTCTCTTTTCAGCAATGGCCAGTCAGACGCTTCTGGAAATTTTACAATTTTACACCTAATTATACTGGTGTCTGATTAACCGAATTAAAATATTTTATGCACGAAATGTTTTGCTCATCTTGTCTGTCCTCACAATTTTGCAAGATAAGGTGCCGTCTCTCTTTGTAGATCGATTCAGGAGCCACGTTTACTTTGAAGGGAGTCTCACTGAGATTTTCTGGATGCATCTAACAATGGCTATATAGGATCGTATCCCGAAGGCAGCTAATTAGCTGTCAGTGGCAACACTTTTAAAACAGAAATAAGCCCCTTCAGCTAATTAGTTGCGCCCTAGCTTTACATGTGTTTAAGACTGCAGTCTGACAGCGCAGCCCTTATACACTTCTCATTGATTTACTGACTTCGTGAGTCATTTCTCCCCAATTGAGTGGGTAAGCGTGTATCCTAAAAGCCAGCTACACGTGTCTACTTAAAATCAAACCTGACTTCCGTGGATTTTACTCCCGGCTCAGCCCGTGAAAAACTACAACTTAATTGCCGATAGCCCATCATGGCCAGCTGCACAGTTCCAGGGGCGGCCTCCGAAGACGCGAATGGCAAACCACTTCTACGTATTCTCTATCTAGAAAACCCTGGAAAGGGTCGCCATAAATCGAAATTGACTTGACGGCACGCAGTTATGATTATTAACCCACTCTGTAATCCCCAACACGTTATCTTGGAATATCCCAGTGGGATTTTGTTTGCAAGTAATAGATCCGTCCGCCACAATCCCGACCACGTTCAAGGAGGACTGAAGAGCCGCGACCCCTAGAAAACTAGGCAGAGTAAGCGGAGGGTGTTCAGGTCTGCATAGCTTCCTGCTAACTGAATCACACGCCCATAGGATCAGAGAAAGGGGTAGCGCAATCCTATGAGCTCCTTGGCTAGCGACTGTCTCCCCCACCCCCGTGGAAGGAACACAGCGGGACTCCCCCCCCCCCAAGC